TTGTTCCTTCCTGTGTATTAAAAATAAAGTTTTAAAAATTATCAAATGTACTTCGAATAAATATAAAACGAACTGGATGTAATATTCCGGTCGCTTACTTTCAGTACAAAAGAAAGACGCTATTTTGTGTCGAGGTTTCTATGACCATTGTATCCAGCGCTAGAATAGGAAGCGTAAATAAACACAAGAACTTGATAAAATAAACACATAAATTCTTGACGATAAGTAACGTATTAATGTCAATGCCTTGACATACATTTATATTGAACATATAATAAAATATATACACATATACCAGATACTAGAACATATACTAAATCTCAATTGGATTGTATGTATAATTAATGTGCTGAACCAGTAAATAAAGTAACTAATAATTCAATACAATGACTAAATTATATTATTTGGGCGATAGCAGCATAAAGTAACCCATACTATTTGTTGCTTACTTACATAATACAGGCATTACGTTTCCGAAGTAATGGAACAAGGCTGCATATTTATTTGCGGATAACGACATTCCTTATTTACCGTCGCATAATATTGAAATATCATTTATGCGTTGTCACGACTTCACTAGCCCGCCAAAACGTGCCTATTTCAATAACATTCATAATATATTATCAAACAGATCTTTCTGCTTCTGAGATTTTTTGACAGAAATAAAATAAATATGCTTTGTTGATAGCTCTAATAAGTTTTATGTTATCCAAATATTCCGTGATGAGTATATGAGTGAGATGAGGACTGCCAACGTGACCTGGAGTGATGTCAAGGAGCAAGCGCAAGACAGGGTAAAGTGGAGACAACTTGTGAGGGCCCTATGTACCAGCGGGGTACCCTAGGACTACAACAACAACAACAAATATACCGTATTCACGAATGACTTCCACGATGAAGGAATAACGCCTTGCCAGGAAATTCGTCACGGCAAATTAATAAATTTTCGAATTTAGTCCTAGGGCGCTCTGTTATTTCGCAGGTGTAGAACTCACCATATTTCCTTTTTCTGCTGCAAAACAGAGCGATATTTTGCTTTGAAACATAAAACGCCTTTTTTATATTACAACTGAAACTTCGACCACATAAATGCTAATATCCATTACCATTTATCTATCATCAGGTATGCTGCATACATGCTTACTGAGGCAGTAAAAATGGCGTACTATTCATTAGTTTATTCATTACTATTCATTAGATAGAATCTCAACTAGATAGCGGCATGTATAGTAACTAATAAAGACTCCATTATCGACTAAATCACTAATTACCTATCTTCAATATATCATTAAACATTTCAAAATATTTTTTTATTCAATAGGCTTATAGGGTCGTTTTCAAATTTGGGGCCAAAAGCGAGTTATTTGATTTAATTCTCATAATCTTAATGTTACCGTAATTCTAAGTACAGTAAATTTGTTGTCATGATAACAGACACGTGGTCCTATAACTATATATTCTTAAACACTGTTAAATTAGGAGCTATACATTAAAAGCTACCCCAAATCTCTTACGTATCACTGGTTCGAAATTCAAATTCTAACTTGCTTGCTATTTTTCCAGTAATGCGTGTTGAAATTCGGCAATTTTATAATCAGTATATAATACAATAATAAAGGAAAATGAACTGGATATGAGAATAGAAGAATTAGATAGATAGAATAGAATTAGAGGAGATATTAGAAGAATATTTGAACAAAACAAAAGAAGTACGATTTCCAAGTTTTTTTTTTAAAGAAAGTTCATATTTACGTTGTCATCCGTGTTCGCGTTATCAAATGCGTAAAATGAAAAATATAAATGAATATTATTTAATATTATCAATAAATAAGGAATTGACTTGATTGTGAACGTGCCTAAATACAAAAAAAAATGGAAAATTAGAAAAAGTTTAAATTCATGAAATCGTTACTTTTTTGGCCGCAAAATTGAAAACGACCCTAAATCCCTTTTCATGGTTGGAAGAGTAACGATTTCACATTCATAACTAATTATTTAAAAAAAAAACGAAACTCAAATCATATTCTACTTAAAACAAATATAGAACCATTTAAATTAATGAAAAATAAAAAGGAACTACTCTGGATATTTAAATCGTGCTTACACTGAGTTCACACAACGATGTAATTGTAATTTTCGGTAACCTCAATTTAAAGTTTTAATGAGTTAGTGACCTTGCCGCAAAGATGGTTACCGCCGGCATAATAACACGCTTAATCTGCATGTATATTAGGTGTGTGATTTAAATTCAAAGTAAACTTTGAACTCCAACAACTTTCATATTTTATACGATTACTAGCTGACCCGGCAAACGTTGTGTTGCCTTAAATAAGATTTCTAGGGAAATTCTACTGTAGAAAAAAAACCTCATTTAACCACATAATACCTCATTATAAACAAAAAAAAATATCCAAAAAATTAAAATAAAAAATTATTGTTTGGGGTGGACAACCCTTTTCACTTAGAGGTATGAAAAATAGATAGTAGCCGATTCTCAGACCTACTGAACTACTGATACTATTGATACACAAATAAATCCAAAAAAACATGGCTGAAAAATGTATAGTAAATGCTCTCAAATATATTTTTTTTTTTTTTTTTTTTTTTATGATTGAAAGATTACTGGTGGCCCGGAGGCCTTTCCAGCTTCACCAGGGCAGGTGGGCGAGCAAAGGCTCAGCCAGGAGGGGTGGGATTTGCTAACAACTGCCCGAGCGCCTCCGAAGGAGACCTAACAACTCAAGAGCAATTGCTTCGCGAATGAATCTACTACCGGATCGGAATCGCGACCCACTGAGAAGATCCGGCGAGAAACTCAGCGGGCTGATGCATGGGTTAGGTTGCACGTCGACCTCTTTGTCGAGTTCGACGAGTACGGTTACCGGGGTTCCTTAGCCTGCTCCTAGTGTTAGAGCTGAAGGTATCTAATGCAAGAGTTATTGGATCTGATGGATCCGTAAGGACGTGTCTAGGGCGACGACGGTGACTTGCTCCTGCGTGATCAGGATTCGGGGAGTAATCAGCGGCGGCAACGATAAGGCGATTATCATGACGCATAGCCTTATCGAAGTA